GAGAGGGGTCTTTTTGGCACATCTGTAAATATGGCCTGTTGGTCTGATTTCTCAAGTGTTTGTATTGGATTTCCAAGTTTTCTCCTTCACCTCTTTTGTTTCCTACTTTCTCCTTCATCATTAATGCAACTCATTGGAGCCCTACTCTGTAACTGGGAAGAGTAAAATTAAATAAGACATAGCCAAGGCTTTAGGAACCTAAAAGCTAATTGAAGAAAGAAAATATGCATATAAATTGCTATTACTATTCTATTCTAGGAGAAAAAAATAAAATGCTGTGAGAATTCAGGAACTTCAGATGAATTTTAGATGGTCAGATCTGGCACAAGTTTCATAGAGCTTGTGACATTTTCTCAAATTATTGAAAGACAGAAATTTGATAGGCAAAAAAAAGAAGTCTTCCAGGCTCAAGGACAGTATAAATAAAGACAGGCATAGAACTAAGAAAATTCAAAAAAATACTTTGTGACGTAGTTTTCCAGGAATATATAACACATCCAGGAAATCCTAGGATGATAAGGCCAGAAAGGAGACAGGTACTAGTGGGCATTAATAGCAAGGTGAACAAATTAGATCCAGAGGCATAGAAGCATGAAACAGACTGATGACTCTCAAAGGAAGATGGGGGTAGGGCAGCGGTTCTCAACCTGTGGGTCGCGACCCCTTTGGTGGTTGAACAACCCTTTCACAGGGGTCACCTAAGACCATCCTGCATATCAGATATTTACATTACAATTCATAACAGTAGCAACATTACAGTTATGAAGTAGCAGTGAAAATAATTTTATGGTTGGGTCACAACATGAGGAACTGTATTTAAAGGGCCAGAAGGTTGAGAACCACTGGGGTAGGGGGTGTGGAGGTGGGTGGGGAGAGATTAACCAAAGAATGTATATGCATATATGCATAATCCATGGATACAGACAATAGTGTGGGGAAGGAGGGGGGTGGGATGGAGGAGGTCAATGGGGAAAAGAGGGAACATCTGTAATACTTTCAACAATAAAGATAAATTTTAAATAATAATAAAAAATAACCCAGACTAATAAAAAGAAAGTATTAACAGATTTTATATATATATATATATATATGTATATATATATATATATATACACACATACATATATATATATATATATATATATATATATATATATATATATATATATATATAATAGAGGTGAATAGCTAGAATTGCCCTTGATAGTCATGGAGTGCCATGCATGCTATGGTAGGGATTATAGCCTGAGACCAGTGCGCCCTCAGTTCTGTGCAGGGGGCAGGGTGGGGGCAGGAACAGAGTTTCAGCTGTCCGGGCCTGAACTGGGAAGGTCCGAGCTAAGGCAGAGGGAAGATGACCTTGTGAGAACTTGTTTGACTTGGATCCCTCAGGATTTGGTCACCAGTGAGACTTAGAAGATGTAAAAGGACCTTTAAAGTTCACATGGAGGGTTTGAGCCTGCATGTCTGGTTAATACAGATGCTATGAAGATCAGGAGAAACCAAACTGGTGAAGAGGTTAGGGAAAAAATAGGCTGCGTTCAGTTTGGGCAACAGTTTGCCCTTCCATTAGAGTTCCAGCAGATGCTCAGCAGGTTGTTGATCAAAAGCCTAGGTGATTTCGTAGAAAGCAACAGGTGTGATTGTAGGTTCTGTTAACAGAAGCACACCGTATCTAGAATAAGTCGGTGACCATTTTGTTCTATTCTGCATAGTCAAACCACAACTGGAATGTTCATTTGAACTTTATTGTTTATGGGTTTTTTTTCTGGACACCATGGTTAGAGGTTTTCAATACAATTGGTAAACTTACAGAAAAAACAATAATTCATAGCAGAAGTGATTGGAGGAATTTGTACTTTCTTAACCTGGAATAGAGTCAGTTCCTCTGAAGAATATGAGTGCTTCACCACTTGGAGAAGGGCCGTGTGGAATAATTAGACGAATATTAAGTTGCCCCAGTGATATAATGGGAATAATAAAACTACATGGCAGGCTTGTCAGGAGATAATTTGGGCAATGCCTCTGGTACATACTTGGCATTTAATGTGTCTCAGCTCTTATCCTTTCTCTTAAGAGCATTAAGACCAGTGGGCACATGTCAGAGAGATAGATTTTGCCATTCTATTGGAAATAAGTTTTTAATACTCAGTGCTGGCTAGCTAGATGGGCTGCCTTGATAGGTGGGAAATTTGAAGTCAAATGCTTGGTGGACAAGCACTTGACAGAGATGTTGTGGGGGAGTTGAAGGGCTGGGAGGGTAAAGAACTTGAAGACCTCATCCTAACTCTGAGCTTCAAATGGTTCCAGGGAATTTGGAATGCAAACTCAAGAGACAGGCTGGGGCTGGAAATAAAACTTGAAAATCTTTTCCCGAGAGGTGACAGTGGAAGGTGGTTGCCAAAGGAAAAAGTGTAGAGAGCACCGCGGGCCTAGAATAGAATCCTGGGCATGTGGGAAAAGAAGGAAACTAAACTACGTTATATGAATGACGATACTGTTGTATGCCATGAGACCGAGGAAGTGTTGTTTTTCACCAATTTTATTCATATGTACGTTAATTTTCCAGAAAATATTGGGGAGGGGAGACGGATTTAAGACAGGAGAGCAGCTAAGCTTTGCCTTGTGGCAGAGAGGGTGAGCGCAGGACCAAGGCAACACGCTGGATTTTGCAACGAGGAAGTGACTTGTGATGGTCTAGAAAGCACTCATGATTAATGATTTACACATCATCTATTCCCAGAGGGTTGGGGCAGCTTAATAAAAGCACTCTTCACACAGGGCAATGAAAATGAAACAAAATAAAGATAAGAAGCCACAGACAGAAATAAATGAGGAAAGTGGGGGGGGGGTGGACATGGCACAAACCATGGATGGGATTATTATTGTAGCAGGAGCACTACATTTTAGCTCTGGGGTTCCAGCAGCCAGAATAAAAGGGTTACGGGACCGGTTCCTTACCACTCATTGGTTCATGAAAGGAGACAGGTTTTCAGAAGAGTTTTTGTTTCTTGGCACCAAATTCTATGGTGTGTAGCCCATGGATTCTTAGATAAGGAAGGTGACATATTAGACAATGGGGTCAACAGCGATCCTGTGAATTCGCAGACTTGCTTTGAATTGCTTTGTCTTTCTGAAGCCCTTGAAGGTCAAGTGCGAAGTATTGAAATGAAGTCTGTGATTATTTCAGACAAGTTGAGCATCTGAACACTGCTGAGACTGAAAACTCAGCATGTAAGACAGCCTGAGCGAGGAGGACGTCCTAGACAGAAGATTCCAGGGTCACGCCAGGAACTCAGGGCAGAGAGGGCACCAAGGACCTTGCAACCTCAGGTCCTTTGCACCTGCTACTTCCTCTGCCTAAAAAACTTTCCCCCAGATCGTTCTCATCTTTCACGTTTCAGTTCAGATGTTACCTCTCCAAAGAGATCTTTTCTGGACTCTGCCTAATGCTGTCCCTTCTTCATCCACCCAGCTCAATGTGTCACTCTCAAACAATAATGCTTTATTGAATTCATAGCGTTTACTGCTCTGTTAAATCGTTTTATTTATTATCAGTGTCCCTCCTCCCACATGGTAGGATGTAAGCTAGTCCACCAAACAATGCCAGGAGCAGAGTAGGTGCTCAGTGTGTTTAAGGAATGAATAGCTTATGTATGGGGAAGAGCTCAGCTCAGTGTCCGTGTGATAACTGAACACATGGTTGTGCTGGGGATGGAGTTAAGTTCTCCCTAAAATGTTAGCTGAGCCAAACCGGTTTGGCTCAGTGGATAGAGCGTCAGCCTGCTGACTCAGGGGTCCCAGGTTCGATTCCGGTCAAGGGCATGTACCTTGGTTGCGGGCACATCCCCACTGGGGGGCGTGCAGGAGGCAGCTGATCGATGTTTCTCTCTCATCGATGTCTCTGTCTGCTGAACTGAACCCAGTTTCCATGTCATTCCTTATTCGCCGACTCCGTCCACACCTTTGGGGACCCCTGGACCCGCTGGGGCTGGACCCCAGCATCTGTCCCTCTCCCTTCTTCTCTGTAAAAAAAATCAATAAAATATATTTTTTAAAAAATTAAATGTTAGCTGAGCAGAGGTTGCAGATTCTGATCATGAAAAAATTCATACTGGGAATTTAAAACCACTGGGGTTCAGAAGAGGAGCACAGATTCTCCGTACATTTTCCTGTTCACGCACAAGAAGCAGGGGTACTAATATGAATGGTACGTTTATGAATGTTCATTGAGCAGGTTTCTAAGGGGTGGAGCCTAAGTGGGAAGAGTAGAAAGGACCCTACATTGTGGCAAAGTCCCTTTCCTCTCCCTTCAGAAATTTTGTTCCATATTACCCGTTAAATGTTGGAACATAGCTATTTTAACATAAATAATGTTGCAGGACTCATTCTAAGAAGAATTTGCTCTTAGGTGCAAGTCCTTTTATGATCCCTCCTGGCAGCTAACAATAAAACCCCTATTGTGTTGAAATGTGTGTGTGCACAAGCGAGTGTGCCCGTATGTTGGTGGTAAGAAATGCATCCAAATGGCCTGCAATCTAAATCAAATCACTAACACATCCATAGAAAAGCGGAGGTACCTGATGAGAGAATACCCTTTGAGATGGAGAGGAAACGAACCAATGGTATGAGACTGGAGCCAGGAGTAGGTGAGCCAGAGGACACTGGGTGTAGACTGGCTGTTGAACAAACTATGGGAAGGTGAGGACTCAACAAAAGAGAGGTAACTGCAGCCTCAGGTGGGGAGCAAAGCCAAGAAAAGCTTCTGTTAGACATTTATTTCAGGTTTGGGGAAAACTAAGTTTGTTGGCAATGGGAAGCAGACTTATCAATGGAGAGATTCAGAAAAAATGCCACGGAATTAGCACCCATTTTATTCATTCTTGAGAAATTGTACATGTGTCTTTATCAAAAATAAAACAAATATTAGGAAAAAGCATATACTATTTATTTTTTATTAATTCATTCATTCATTCACTTATTTTAGGTTGGACCTGGTGCTTGGGAGAAATTTTGATTAATTAGGCCCTATTGTGGGCTTTGCCTGCAGACTTCAGGATACAAGTTAGCAGTTCAGAGATAGTGGAGTTTCCCCAAGGCTATGGACAGGTAAGGCGTTTTAGAACCATTCAGCATCATAAGCTCTAAAGGAACCTTGAAACCATCTGAGTCCACAAAATAATGGGTCCTTTTTCCCCTCACTTCCTCATTATTAACATTTTAACTCATCGCCAGAAGAGAGATATCTTGGGAAAAATATACAAATTGGGGTTTTTTTCTAAAGACTACTGGAAGCATCCAAAATGACAAAACGTGTTTTCCGATTAGAAGGAGACAAAATAAAATATAATTTGGTTCTCCTTCTATGCTGAATGAGGAGATCTGATTATAATATTAACTGAATTACTTGTCAAATGGCCTATGTTTGGCGGTTAAAACAAACCAGACAAAAAAAGACTCTCCTGATTACATTCTGTTAAATTGTGCCACAAGAGGACGTCCTATCTAATGCGTTCCTTTGGGTAATGGGCGAAAAAGTAAATTACCAAAGTTTCAACCTGGTAAGAACACAAGTTTAAAAAATGGAAGTGAGCATTAAAAAGGAAAGCAACCGCCTCACTCCTCGTTGGAAAAGCAATCTTTGAATTCAAGGTGAAATAAGGTAGATTTTTATATGCTCATTCTCTTATTTGAAGGATGAATAGTGAACTGTCATTCAAAATAAAGGGGTAAACTGGAAATTGAAGTGCAGATAACAAAAATGAAAGAAAGAAATCAGTGTTTAATGGCAAATCTTTCAAATCACAAAGCAAAAGCTCAATTCATAATGTGATGTTTTATTGTTTGTGTCTAATGTTCCACTGTACTTGGCTTTTATAGCAATGATCTAGGAATGAAGAATAAGTGATTTGGAGAACAGTTGTAAGTTAAAGGGCTTCATGCTGACTGAGAGATAAAATTTCTGTGTATGGTGTATCCAGTGAAATTGCTCTTTTAACAAATACTTATTGAGGACCCACTATCTTCCGGGCACTGTTCTGAGAGGTTCTGACTTATTAATGGACAAAACAAAAATGCCTCCTTCCACGAAGCATCTATGTTTGATCAGTAATTTTTTAAAAAATTGGCTCCTAGAGGGAATCCCTTTGTATGGCATTTAGGGTCCTTTGTAAAACAGGCTATTGAAGATGTGTCTATGTAGCATCCACATTTCTGGGCACAAAGGGGAGAAGTGGGCTCATTTGTCTTAGGCTAGAAATCTGACTTCCCTCAGTAATTTCCCAGGAATGAGCGCCTGTTTTATCTTCATCCCTTAGCTGTTTTATGCATTTGCCTGCCAAACTTGCTTCCTCTTCTTCCTGATCTAGGCCCTGAGGTACATTTCTGAGAATTTAGAGCACAATTAACAGAAAATTGAGATCGAATTTACCAGAGGTAGAAAACCAAAGGGAGTGTGTTCCTGAAATGCATATTTAGGCAGTAAGATAGGAAAGTGGTTTTATTGCATCTAAGCCCCTGGGGAAAAAAAAAATAGGTATGGAAGCTGTATACCGTACAGAGCCAGACGGGAGTGAAATGAATGAAAATGAAGGAAGCTGTAAAAGGGAAGAGGCAGAGGCGGCTTAAAACTACAAGGAAGGAAGGAAGGACTGGGTCCTCTTTTTGTTGTTTTTGACAGGCGTTTAGCAGTTGGCCCTGTAACTGACATGAGCTCAGAGTTTCCGATTATATTATAGGAGAAGCAATATTTCCTGAAAGAACTCATCTGGAGTGATCTGAGCTCTCGTTTTACCTGTGATCGGTCTTGGTTCATAATGACATGTACAGAGCACAGGATGGCTTTGTTTTCAAGGGTGGCACTGAAGCAAGAAATTATGAATTATCAGAGCTGTTAGGGATTCAATTGTTGCCAAGGGGAAATGAAGGGGAGAGATGTGAATGTATTTCAGGAAAATACATAACTGTAGCTAATGCTCTGGTTTATATTTTTTTTTTCCATGATGGACTTGAACAGACATTACAAGTATTCCACCACCACAGGCAATAATTTCAGACTAAGCCAAGCAATGGATATTTTTACAGCTGAGACTTTTAAATATTAATTTTTAAGTTATATATTATTTGGATAGAGTTAAAAATCTGATTATTATTGTTTCTGATAGGCTAGAAAATACAGGGTAGACTAAAAGTTTATTATGTTTTATACCAACAGTATGAAAAATTCATTATAGAATTTATTTAGTTCAAATTAAAAGAACGATAAATGCTTCATGGTGAAAGGAAATCAATTTAGATAAAATGTTAAACATGTTTCTTGACACTTAAAATATAACTATAATATGTGTTTGGAGAAAGCATAGCGCAGTGGTCCTGAATACTAAACTACTAAAATGTCTGTTTAATCTTGAGATGGGATTCAGGAGAGCTGAGTTCTAGCTAGAGCTGTAAAGCTACCCAGCAGCAACCAAGTGTAGTGTATGAGATCACTAGCAATACCACCAGGACATTTATGGCTACTACTGCTAGTCACCTAAGGTTGCTGATCAACCGTGGGCCCGGATGCCTTCTGAGACAGTGAATTCTCTCTCTGAAAGGAGGATTTCAGATGCAGACTCCTTAGCATCCAAGGACCGTCCTCTTCATCCCTTCTTCCACTGCTCTCCTGCTTACAAAGACCCGTGTAGTTACTCTGCCACTTCTGTGCCTTTGTTCATACTTTTTTCTGCCTGGAATGCTGTCTGTGTTTCCTTCCCTTCTCTATTCTAAATCCTGACCATCTTTTAGGTCTAAGTTAAAGCCCTAAGCCCTTCAAGAATCTTCATCTGGCCACTTTCCTAGTGACCCCTCCTTCCACGGAAACTGCCTGCATCAGAACAATGATACTTGTTTCCTTGCCTTCTTCATGAGCAAACCTTTTTCCTTCCCATATTCTTAGGGAAGGGTGGCATCTACACAGTCACCCATGCTGGGCCACCAGCCGTCAACCTTGACCCAACTCTCACTCACACCCTGCTCGTCTAATCTTTCCCTAACCTAGGCTTGGTCCACCTCTTGGGTACTTCTTATCTCTACCCCATTTTCCCATTTCTCCTCTCCCAGTTCACCATCATCATTTTGCCTGGACTATTGTAACAGCCTCCTTGACTTCATTCTCACTTCACTCCACCCGTCCTCCACAATGGTGGTGGCAGAATGACCAAGCATGTGAGTCCGGATGCTTTTCTTAAAATATCCAGCATTGATTATAGGTCTGTGCTACATGTTTATTTATTAGCTGTCTATTAATCTGGAACACTATCAACACTCTCTAGATAGGTCATGTTTTATAAAACAGTAACAAGGTAGACACAGAGTAACATCTGTTTGCCAGGTAGCCCAAGACTAAATTGGATCGATGATGTAGACATACATGGAATGCCTAGGACAGGTTCATTGAAGTTGACCAGATTCCAAATTCCATGAGACTACTCTGCCCAAGGTTAACATTTTGCTCTGTCCCAATCTTTGCATTGGCCTACAAGGCCCTATGTGATATGTCCACACACCCACTTCACCCCCTGCCCCCAGTAGTTCTCTGACCTCTTAGCTGCTTCTGCAATAGGCCAGAACATTACCAATTCGGGTCCTTTGTTCCTTCTACCTGGAATGTTCTTGTCACAGCTATCCATGTGGCTCACTTCTTTATTGCCTTTATCTTGGCTCAAATGTCACACCTTTTCAGGGACACCTCCTTGACCACTATTTAAAATTGCAAGCTCCCCCTTCCTACCCTCTCTTACCTTGTTTTTCTTTATAGAAATTAGAAGTTCCATGTGATTTTTGTCTTTTATTCACTACTCTATCCCAGGCACTGAAACAACCTACATCAAAGTAGCCATTCAATAATTCATTGAATAAATCAACGAATTCATCTGACATGTGCGACATCTCTTCTTATGTATCCAATATCTTTCTCTTTGAATAATCTTTATGTCTGTGATCTAATTTCAAGCCTGGTAGCTGGTTAATGTCTTACCTTAGTCAAACATGGTTTGCATTAAGAGTCATTTATCTTGGGTTTCACTCCTAGCTCTGACACTTTCTAATTATATGACCTTGAGTGAGTCATTCTATCTTCCTGAGTCCAGTTTTTCTCATTTGAAAAACAGGGCTAATGACACCTAGCATATTACTAGGAATATGACAAACACTACAGCTATAAAGTTCTATAAACATGTTAGTTGGTACCTATTTTTATTTCTTATCTACACAAGGAACTGAAGAAACAACATTGCATCATGAAGAGTTTGAACATAATAGTCAAGCAAATACATATTAGTTCATTCTGTCTTTACTTATTAGCTATATGAGAAACTTAATTTACCTCCTTTTCTACAAATAAGGAACAAATTTTATCTCAGAATTGATCAAAATTCTGAATTAGGTATATAGTGTATTATTTTAACAAATCCACGACACACACATTTTTCACCTTTTAACGTTTCAGAAATCAGTATGCACTTTGCAATCAATGATGTCTTCTGTTAAGTGAAATGTGGTATCTACTTCCAACTTTTGTATGTGACACAGGATGGTAATTATAGTTCAGAATCTCTCAGGTCATTCTGACAATTTTAAGACATTTTCCTCTCTTCCATTGGGAAAAAAAGTGGCTTTCAATGAATAATAATAAGGTGGTGAATTGTGTCTTAATAGTTTAATAGCCATATTTTTTGGCAGCTTGTCATTAAAACGTGTTTTTTCAATTTCATCTCAAAGAAAAGTTACACATTTTGTTAAACCATTAACCATGAAGTCTCTTCAATTTATTTCTTTGTGACAGAGGAGGGCACTTTGTTTTTCTGGGTCCCCCTCCCTGTGTCTTCACTCCAGTTGGGTTGGTACTTTCCCTTCTCTTTGGTGTGGTCATGGAGGACAAGAATAGAATAATATCCTGGCAACCGCAGCAACCACACTTTAGCAGAACACAGTTGCTAGGAGCAAGGGGTAGTAGCTGCACTCAAGAGATCACGTGGCTCTGCCATCCCAGAGGAGCCAGTGGGCTGTGGCAGAAACCCACAGCCCCGAGCCGCATGCTCCACCCTGCCTTGTGCGGAAGGGAATGGAAT